ATGACCTGAGCCGAAGGCAGACGCTTATCAACTGAGCCACCCAGGCGCCCCTCCCTTTTGTTTTCTAATTGGTAGTGACATCAGAGCATTGTGCTATGTTATTATTAACTGTCCCCTAGAAATAAATGCAGTTTCTCCTGATGGTTGCTGGCAATTCTAAGCAAAATCAGAGCATCCAGAAATCTTTCCATTTAGCACTGTATGCTTCTTTCTATACAGGAAGTCAAAGCACCAACACCAAAGGGCATCAAGTGTTTAGTACCTGAATAAATCCTGAGTATCCCCAGAAAACCAGCCCATTCCTGCACTGCCACCCACTGCTTACCAGAAGAGCATATTCTTTTTCATCTTCAAATAGGTCTTCAACTAAAAGAAAAATACCAAATAATATTAATCAGTATCTACATATAGTTTTCCTTTCTCTGCTAATTCTCTGCTTAAGAAATACTTCTTAAAGACAAATACCATTATGATTTCACTCATGTGGAATTTAAGAAACAAAACAAATGAACAAAGTGGTGGGGGGAAGAGACAGACCAAAAAAAAACCCCCCAGACTCTTAACTATAGAAAACTGGTGGTTACCAGAGGGGAGAGGGGTGGGTGATGGGTGAAACAGGTAAAGGGGATTAAAAGTACACTTATCAAGATGAGCACTGAGCAATGTATAGAATTGTTGAATCACTACGCTGTACACCCGAAATTAATATAACACTGTACATTAACTACACTGGAATTAAAATTAAAAAAAAAAAGAGGTTCTTAATTCACCTGCTTATTCTAAATATAAACTCTTCTGAGGCAGAAGGGTTAAGAGGGGGTGCTCTGGGTTCAGAACGCCTGCTTTACCACCTACTATGGGACTTGGGAAAGTAATTTAATGCCTAACCTCTGTGGGCCTCAGTTCTTTCATGTGAAAAGTAAAGTAAGAAGACTATTACCACTAACATAGTATAATAAAATTAAATTAAAAAAAAAGAACACTATCAGCTAACTCACAGAGTTGCTAAACATGAATGACATTACCACATACACTGTGCTACAACTTGTGCCTGGACAACCCGCAGTGATCACTTGTTCGTCATTATTACCAGATCAAAAACCCAAAGAGGACGACCTGAAAGGAGAAAGAATGACAAAGAAAATAACCCTCCCTAGTCATGCTGTCTTCTGGGGTGCAGAGTGAGGGGCTGAATTCCCAAGTCACATTACAGAGACTTTCAGTGGTCTTTTTTTCCTGAACCACATCCTTTCCTCAATCGGAAGAGTAGCTAAGACTGCAGGCAAGTAGGTATCTTCAAAATGGGTACCATGTGAAGTAGAACACTGGGAGGCTATGTCACTAATTGGACCAACCTCTTTCTCTTCTCTACAAAGTTCAATTCTACCACAGTCAATGATTAATAAAAGCATTAGGGTTCTTCTATTCCACAAAGAAGGCTGAAATAAAATGGTTTCACAATCTTCTTCAGTTTGGAAAATAAGCTCTCTGTTTTAAAGATGACAGCTTCGCATGTCCTAAAACTCTTTTTTAAAGATTTATTTATTTAGAGAGAGAGCATGTGCATGACAGAGCGGGGGAGGGGCAGAGGGAGAATCTTCAAGCCAACTCCCTGCTGATCATAGAGCCTCCACAGGGCTTGCTCCCAGGACAGTGAAATCATGACCTGAGCAGAAACCAAGAGCCCATGACCCTGAGATCATAACCTGAGCTGAAACCAATTGACTGAGCCCCCCCAGGCGCCCCTGTCCTAAAGTTAAGGTAAGTCTTAAGAATAATTTAAAGCTACAGGTATAGAAAACTGAACTCCCACACAGTCCAAATTACTCTGAGTGTTACATTTTCCTCACTGTTTTCACTTCCACTTAAACATTTATTCATATCTGTAAACTCACAATGCCCTACGTGAAATCCTCTAACAATTTTTCATGAAAGAAGCCAACTAAAATGATCACTAGGCATTAATGAGGCATTAAGGTAGCCTTTCTTCCTGGGTGTAAGAGCAAAAACAAAACATGCAATTAAGAGTGTTTGCTTCCTCTGAAAAAACTCAATTTGTGCAACCTGTCCCATTTAAACCTTGATTTAGGGCAACTCTCTAACCCTATTCTTTGAAAAATGAAAAGAAAAAATCTTTAGCTCATACTGCTAGTGAGGTTTGTTCTAAAAAACCAACATAGGCCGTGTTCACTGATCTAGAAACTCTGTGGAAATGCCCAAGAATTTGCATTTTGTTTCAAATGGGCCAGGTACAATGAACCTTCCCATGTTCTAGGTATTTCACTGCTCAGTTGTCACTATATAACCACCATTGAAGACTATAGCATAGAACGTAATTCCCGTATAGTGCAGAAATATGGAATTTCAAAGAATATAACATTTTCCTCCAGATTTTCCTGTTTTCTATCTTTACTTTTCAGTTCCCCACAGTCTATGGAAAGGTGTATTAGCTTTATGCAACAATAACACCTCACATTATTAACGTTACATTCCAGGTGTGTCAAGCTGACGGGCCACAGATCACTCTAGAAACAGCAACAGCAGAACCCCTATGCAGGTCTGGGCTGAATTGAGGCTGAGTGGCTCCAGGCATGATCCCTTTGTTAAAATATGAATATAAACACACACACACACACACACACACACATTTTTGGGCATGCCTGTCTCCTCTACTATTCTGTGAGTTCCTTGGGGACAGGGGATATATTTTACTCTCTTTGTGCCTCCACAGAAGCTGGCAGAGTGCGGGGTGCAGGAGAGGTACTCGATAAATGCCTACCGAATAAAAGGAGTGAAGCGCAAGGGAGAGAAAGCTTTAAGGGTAGAAAAATTTCTTCAGCTCCTCGGTCTAAAGATGGCCTCTTTTACAGACAAAGAGAAACTAAGTCCTATAATGAATTCAGATATACAGTACAGTATAAAAATGCAGAAATATCAGACATATACACCAACTTTAAATCGCCACCTCTGTATAGCCTGCTTCCACCCTTCAAGGCAACGACTACTGCCAACCTTGTTCCTGCCGTTGGTTGGGACCGGGAGTAAAGACGATCTGCAAATGCTAAGAAGAAGACTGGAGATGGTCCAAGACATTGCCCAAGAATGACACGACACAGGGCTGGAACCAGATCTTCAAGTGTTCCTGGCCACGCTTTCTGAAATGAGAACTGACAGTACTTCCATATCGTTTTCTCTTTTCTACAAGAGACCCACAGGAACATCAATGTACCCAGACAGAGTGCAAGGTCGCTACCTGAACCAAGAATAAGAAACGAGGAATCAAGGAGAAAAAGGTCTTGGGCTAGCCAAAGCCATGGTCACAAAGCTCATCCCCTGCCGGGGAAGAGCAGCAGACCCTCGCGAAGCCCGCTTATTTGTCTCACAGGCAAGCAGGAAGCACAGTTAGCTGGGCGGCTACTCCACCGAAGATCAGAAGCTGCCCATTTAAAAGAGGGCAGCGGGGACACTAACAACAGCAAAAGCCCAGCTTTCCCACCTCTGAAAGCAGAGACTATTAAAAGCGGATTCAAGAATTCAAAATGCAGAGGGGGCACACAACCTGCATATCTTGGGGGCTTCAAAGCCTTGCTCGATTATGGTCAGTAATGGATACTAGCAGCACCACCTCAAGTCACTAAAAGAAAGGTGAAACCATACTGTTTAAAAAGCAAACAAAGTACGTAATATATTGTGAATTTTTTTTCCACAATAAGTCTAGCCAAAACAAGAATTTGCACACCCAACACCTTATTCCCTAAAAACAGAAAACGAAGCGGTGCCATATACGTAGGGCGGGAAGCATTGGAGAGCACGGTATGATGGGCTGGCTCTGTACGAGGTCTGTTACACACGCAAAATTCCGTATTCCTTGCCCTCCTTTTATCATGTGCCCAAAGTAACACCCTCCCCTCCATAAGGCTGTTACCGTGTCAGAAAGTACAAACCTCCAAACACACACCAAAGCTCTCTCTTTTCTGCATCAGGCTCCATTTCTTATCTCCTCCTGGGATGACAGATGCACCCCCACAACTCATCAAGCCTGGAGCTAGGCCTTTCTTTCCTCTTTTGCTTTTGAATAGGCAAGACAAAATCACAAGTGAGATCTCTGCACTATATTCTCTCTGGGATGGCTCTAGCAGTCATGGTGACATTTTAAGTTGGTCAGAAGCTGGTTTCAGTTGCAAAGTAAGGTCTCCTGGACCCTAGATCTGTGTTAGTGAATTCATTAGTCCTTGGGGGTCACAAAGGCAGCTCAAGTACGGAAAAGAGGGAGAGATATACAGGTTTGGAATAAGGAGCTGCTGGAGAAGCACTTCGGGGAGGGACAGCTCTCCTTTCCCATCCCACCATGTAAGGGATGAGAAGACAGACAATCAGGGTCAATGATAATGGCATGGCCATTACCAAGAGCTCCAGTTCTTTTCTTAAGGCAAAAATATTGATTCCCAATCCAACTGCTCAATTAGTCTAGCCGGAAAGGCTCCAGGAGCCAAGTCTGTGAAGCTGAGCCTGACCAGGGCACCATGGGCTGCCCCCAGACTGCTAGAATACCATATGGTCACAGAATCAAATCGCAAGGCTGGTCCAGTATGGTATACCCTTTACAGGTACCCATCTTTTTTTTTTTTTTTTAAGGAATATTTAGCTATTTTATTATATTATATAATACATTTTATATAATATATTATAT